CCCCAAAACCCCAAAACCCCAAAACCCCAAAACCCCAATGTATATCCTTTTAATGAATAATAAAATACAATAATTAGTTAAGATAGGGAAAAAGATGTACTACCAGACTCATCGTGAAGCTGAACAACATGATGCTAAACAGAGAGAAAATGATAAACAGATCTATACCTACCAAGCTGACTGGGTCATCTATGCCCTTGGCTTCTCATGGAGAGAAAGCACCGATTTCAGACTAGCTCTTGGGTCTTTAAAGGAAGATTTGACAAACGAAATTCAAATTATTAAGCTTAGTGACAGCGACACAGAAGATTTTGTTTGTACTACAAAATTCGATCATAACTTCCCAGCTACCAAGCTCCTATGGCTTCCTGACAGAAGTGATTCACATCCTGACCTCCTTGCTACGACCAGTGACTTCCTCAGAATTTGGGAGGTAGACGACGATAACAAATCCGTTTCATGAAAGAGCGAATTAAAGGACAACACTCAGACTTTTAGTGCTCCATTAACTTCTTTTGATTGGAACCAGAAAGATCCAAGCATTATTGGAGTTTGTAGTCTAGATACAACTTGCTCCATTTGGGATGTAGGGAGAGAAAGTATTAAAGCTCAACTTATCGCTCATGATAAGGAAGTCTTCGATATCGGGTTCCAAGACATCAACTCCTTCGCAACAGTTGGTGCTGACGGATCAATGCGTTTATTTGATCTTAGAGCTTTGGAACATTCCACGATCCTTTATGAAACAAACCATCAATCTACCACCGGAGAAGGAAAGCCGCTACTTAAGCTTGGATGGAACAACCAGGATCCCTCTTACATTGCTACTTTTGAGCCTGATAGCAGCAAGGTAGTTATCCTTGATATCAGAGTTCCAATGATCCCAGTTTGAGAATTAGAAGGCCATACTGATTATGTAGATGCCTTTTCATGGGCACCTCATTCAAGTTGTCATATCTGTACCGCGGGAGATGACATGCAGGCATTGATCTGGGATCTGAGTGTGATGCCTAGCGCAGTCACAGATCCTATCCTCTCTTACAAAGCAGATGCAGAGATTACCAGTCTTCAGTGGTCAGCTACTCAGCATGATTGGGTTGCCATTTCCTTTAATAAGACCCTCCAAATGCTAAGAGTATAAGTAATTATAAATGCTTTCAATAGTGAAGAATTCTCTTGGGGTTTTGGGGTTTTGGGGTTTTGGGGTTTTGGGG